CTGCTACCAAAACCATGCCACCTATACCCAATACAAACATTAACGATATTTCTGTACTAAGATTTTGGTCCCGTTTGCTGTTTAATATAGAGCTGGCTTCTGAGCATCCTGCTCTTAATATCAAAGAAACATAATCATAGTTGAAAAACTCAACTACTGATCTGGGTGGAGGGAAGGGCAAGTAATATAACTTGACTGAGATGGCTGTAAAATTAATTGTTCCTCTTGACAGACATGTTCTTGCTAAAATCTGTCCCCATTCTTGAGTATCCATGTCCTTCCTAGAGAGATCAGATGTACTGCCTAAACCCCAGTACAGAGTTCTCCAAAGAGAAACTAGTATAGCAACATCGAAAACAACTGGTCTCTAAGTATGACTTGCACTTTTGTAACCATGAGTTGAGCGTCAGTATTTTGTCTCACTACTAATATAGGCTGGTTTTAGTTGAAGACAGTGAATCACAAATGCATGAATTGAATCTATTCCTTCATGTGCTCTTTGACTATAGCAATGAGGTACTGATTCTCTTCCCTAGTGCAGAAAACTGTTACTTTCCCATCTGTAACTAAGGTTAAAGCAACTGTGGTGTGGCTAGAAGTTGCATACAGTGGTGTCACACAATCCAGAACAGTCTACAGAAGTAGAGGGAGGCTCGGCTGTTCTCTCAGTGACTCTGCCTGTTTCTCTCAGCTGCAGTTTTCATATGTACTTAACTCTGACTGCATGAGCAGTCCTAGAGCTTGAAATTCAAGGACTTCAGTCAGCAATGTTCAATGGGTCTGATCCTTTGCAGAGGCAGCGCCCTGTGAACTGCACTCTCCAAACCCATAAAAAGCAGATCATAAAACAGAACAAATGCATTTTTGTGTGTGGAAGCTTCTATAATATCTAGATCTTGTAAAATGAATGTGACGTGCAAAACTTTGTAAAGAAGTTGATGGTGGTGTGTAAGAGAAAAGAGGCAGCATATCCAGTGCTCTAGTGCAAGCAGACAGACACACGCGGGTCGGGAAGCTCTCTGCCTGTGCAGGGCTCTTACTGAGGCACCTGAGATGAGGGAATACCCACAGAACCGTGCCCGGCCTGGAGAGCTTTTTCTGCGAGAGGCTCTGCTACCTCTACAGTTAGCGTTACCACTCCTTTAGTTTTATGGCAAAGAATTCACTTTGGCAATTCTGCAGTACAAGTCCCAGAAGAGTCTTTGCCTAAATTTATTTACATATTTACAAATGCACTGATGCACAGGACAACCTGGGACAAGGCTTTCTCAGGTTTTTGCAGCACACAAACTTTGTAACTTTGACTCTCAGCAAAGTCATCGATAGAGTCTGGATCCAAGAGCAAATTCATAACCAATTATTGCAAAGATCAGCCTAGCCTTTGCAGAAAACTAGAAAGGGCTCTTGAGAGAACTGAGTAAGTGCAGGAATTAAATGCTTGCCTCTTTCCTCATCAAATCGTGACAAACAGGAAAATGTGAAGGATTAAAGATGATAATCCAGAAAGCACAAGAAATTGCATTTCTTTCATTTCCCCACAGAGTGTCCTCATTTCACTATTCATTGCTCAACAGGTGACCACTTATTTGAGGTGGTAGTCCATTTTGCAGAGGAGCCCACAAAGGTTTGTTAAACACGCATTTGTCCCTTTTTAAAAATTATTGTATTGATAATGTTAACATGGCAAACTGAAAGTTCCCCTTTACTTATCCTAGAGGTAAAGGGGAAAGAAATCTTATGTTCCTTGGTGACCTGAAGATCAAATGAGAGTTTTTTCATACATATATACACGCACACACACCAGATTTCTTGTCAAAACTTTTGTACTTGGGTATTTAAATAAATACAATAATGAAACTTCAGTTCCTAGATAATCAGTGTCTTTCTTAATATTTTAAATGTTTAGGTCCTGTATGTACTAATTTTTAAATACCAGCTATTAAATTTTTTAGTTTAGAACTGCTGTTAAATTGTAGGTTTAAACTTTATAAGTGATATGCGTTGTTGGCAAGATTATCTGAGTGCATCAAATATTTTTTTTCCTGAAATACTTAAGCATGGCTATATTCTACTGTAAGTTGAAAAGGTAAGTGTGCACTCACAAAAAAAAAAAATCAGTCTCGCTGAGTTTCAGAACTGTCTGAGAGCTTGCTTTGAACTTTAAACATTTTTTCTAGTATAGATAAGACACTAGAGTGCCCTTTGTACACATTTCTGGGACATTTTTTCATCATTCCACTAATAATTTCTCTTGCAAAGCTTAGAAAAATGTGTTTCATCAGCCAATGATTTGCTACGTGATTATATAAAGGCATGATCACTCTCAGGCTTTTTACTTGATTTAAAGATATATCGTGCATCACATGGAAGAGGACAAACGCAATGGACTACAGAGAAAATCTTACATTCTTTCATGGACTAACTTGTAAAGCAATCTGTTCTGCACTTTTTCCCTACTAACAGTTTTGTATTCATTTCAGATTAAAGTTGAAACATGAACAGACAATTAGATTTTGTTTTGTACTTTATATTATGTGGATGAATGGTTAATGCAGAAGTTTAGACAATCTTAATTTTTGTTCATTAAAAGCAGAAATGAGACAGACACAGGCTTGTGAGACCTGGTTTACATCACCGTAACAGATGTAGCATTCACCAGTAGGCGAGCAATTTGCAGTAAATATCTTCCATGACTTATGCTCAAACTGTTTCAGTTACGGTTACAATCCCCGAGATTGGCAGAGAGCTGCTCTACCTGTTAGACCCAGAAGGGACCTCGTTAACACATTTTTCCAGAGCAATACCAGCTGTATAACCAGCTAGACTAAAATGGCATAAAAAGCACATCTCTGTGTAACTTATAAACATGCACATGCTCAGTTTTACTATCCTGAAAAAGGGAAATGTGGAGGCAGAGAACAATGAGTCTGGAGGAAGAGGAGCAACTCTAGCACAACAACAAAAAGGTTTTCAGTGTTGCCTCAGGTGTGACAGAAACTCCTCCAGCCTTGATAAATAGTCCTATTTATCACAGTGGCATTGTGAAACACATACAAGTTTGTAAACTAGCACTTTAATTTGTTTAACGTGAAAAATGGCCTTTTAGAAGAACGAATTATTGATTTTGGCTTTTCCCCTCAAAGCAGGTGGGGGAATCAAATCTACTGATGCTGGAAGACTGTTATGTGCTCAGGCCACCACAATCCAAATTTCCCTAAATGTGTCCCTTTTCTTCAGCTCAACACTTTCTGTCCAGGTGGGAGAGAGACTGCTGGCTGCTTGGCTTCTGTGTCCACATGCCAGAAAACCTGCGCAGGTGCTGCTGGATGTTGCTGCGCGTGTGCCATACCTTGGCTGGATGTACTGTCCTGCTGCACGCGCCTGCCCGACTCCCGGGCCCATCTCCATTGCACAGGGGCCCATTTCTGTCTTGCTGTGTAAGAAATACTCTGTGATGAGGTGATAAATCACAGTAACTTGACAGGTTAAAGCTGTGTGTGCTTTATTTTAGAACATATATGGCTTACCTGAGAGGAAAACTTTTTGTATTTTCCCCTGGTACTGCAAGTGGTAGTTACACAGTTCAGCCAGCTCCCAGCTTATTTTCTTCGGATGTGATGCTTTCTTTTTTCTTTCCTAATTTTATTCCTCTGGGATGAAATCTTGGCCCCCCATAAAATCAAACAGAACAAATCTTTTACTTTTTCCTTTTTTTGATTCCCTTAAATGTCAATAAATTACTCCGAGGTGCTTATATTTTTTGCATTAGCATATTTGCATATGTTCCTATGTTGTCAAAACGGGCTTCTGTGCTACTCTCTGCTCCTGAGATACACAGTAGATGCACATGAACAGATGCAGTAAAAAACCTTTAAATGTTAATGCTCTGTTGTGGATCTGTGTCTCACTGATATTTCTCTCCTAATAGCGTAATGCGGTGTTGGATGTTCAGATGCTATGAGGATTAGTAAAAGTACTTCCTTCACCTACTGGTAGTTTGTACAGAAAGGCTCTTTCAGTAGCTATCTTTTTGTCCTGTATTCAGAAGGAAAGGAACCTAGAAGTTACCAAAACCAGCTGTTCAACACTTAATAAAATTTTTAGGCCTGATGTGTCACATGTGATTGAAGTTACTGTAATCTCACCAAAGCCACCCTTTTCAACAGTCAGGGTGAGTTATAAAGTACTAAACTTAAATAGTATTTTTTTTACAACTGACTACTCTGACAGTGAGCAAGAGCTTCCTCTGTCCTTGGTTATTGTTAAAAAGAAGAAAAATATTTCAGAATCACAGAATCATTACAGTTCGAAGGGAGCTCGGGCGGTCTCGACTTTCAGGCCAACCTCCTGCACAAAGCAAGTTTAATCCAAACTCGGGCCAGGCTACTCTGGGCTTTGCCCAACTGAGTTTCAAAAGCCTTCCATGATGGAGGTTCTTCAGTTTCTTTGGTTTCTTGTCCCACTGTTTGCTTAGCCTCAAAACAAATCCTGCCGCCCCCCCCAACAGCCAGTTAGAACCTCGTTTCAACTGCGTCTCTTTTTCCCGTTATGCACTGCAGTAAAGAGGCTCTAACCTCCACTTAGGTGTTGGAAGGTTGTTACTAGGTACCCGTAAGCTTTCTTAAATAATGCCAACTTTTGAGAGGAAGAAATGTTGGAGTAATTTTAAGCACAAAGAATGAACACCGAGACAATCAAGCGGTGAATGGTGTGCAATAATGAGAACTTTCATAGACTTTTTAGGAATATTTGAGATGCTGATGTAGGCACGTGAGCATGAGAATTAATTCCCTTCAGGCACTCCATCAACCATTTCGAATGGAGATTTAGCAGTCTCAAGTAGCTCCAGCAGGATCCTCACAGACCACTCACTAAAGACCTGAGTGCAAGTTAAAACCGCATTTGCATGAACAGCAAAACAGACAATTTTTTGCAACAGGAGCACTGGGTTAAATCTCAATTCCCTGCTCACATTTCTGATGCAGATAATCTCCCCCTAGGAACCTTTATAGACTCGGTGACATCAGTCTGCGCATCCATAATTACAGCCCGCATGCTATTACACAGCAGCCTTGCACAAAAGCTCACGAGGTCCTGGGAGAATCATCCAGGCCTACAGCGAGCTGCATCGCAGAAAATGCAGATCTCTTCACAGGTAAGACACATCTTCCTCCCAATACAGGCTACCTCACACCCACCCTGCTAATTACCAGCTATACTTCTCTTCAGCAAGAGTACAGAAGGTTAACCAGCAGGTCCCACGAGAATATTGGCAATGTGCTGTACTTCAAGGTTCGTCCATCCTGGGACTGCTGGGAAGTAAGAGACTGTGCACAAATAAAAACAATGTCTAGGGAAGGGCAGAAACTGACATTAAAAAACTTAATGACTTTCTCCATTTTATTTAGTTAGATATGCAAACTGTAAAAGCAAAAACATAGTAATACCAGTATCTTAACCTTTACACAAACATCACTTTTTTCCGCTCCTCGGAAAGTGTTCCAAAGACTGGAAAAGTACGAACTATCCATCTAACAAGACGGGATGTAAAGAAGCAGCATTGCTGGGTGCGGTGTACGAGCAAAACCCGCGTGCTGCAGCTGGACATCGTTCTCCCAGTTAAGGGAGAAGAAACCCTCATTCAGCAGGTAACTGTTTTTAATCCAGTGGATTAACAGTTTTATCCAGGACGAGGACTCCGTGCGTAGCCCCTCTCAAACGCAGCCACCGCAGCAGGCAGGAAACCGTGGTGGGATGTTCTGTTTCCCCAGACTACGCCGGTCCCCCTGCCGCCTCCTGCTCCTCCAGCCGTCACCG